CGCGACCCCTCGCTAAGGGGGGGTGTCGGGGTTTGGCCCTGCGGCGCCTTGCCGGGCGCTGCTGGCGCCGTGCCCGCAGCACTGCGGGGCTGCTGTCGTGCCCAGGTGCTGCGGGGCCGCTGAGCTCCCGCCGGCCCCGTGCCCGACCCCCTGCTCCTGCCTGCCCCGGCAGAGCAGGCGGCGGGGTCTGGTGCGAGTGGGTGCCTGGTGCCCTTGAACCCTCCCAAACCGCAGCGGAAGCCGGGGGAAGGTTGTTTTTTTTTTTTTTCCTGGAGAAAAGGCAGCTTTGCTCTGCTTTTCCTCTTCTCCGGGCCCGTGGGAGCTCCAGCGCTGAACAGAGGATCCTTGTCCGCCGGGGCCTGCCTGGCGCCTCGGGGGGTTACAGTGCTGCTCCCGAAATCCGGAGCAGCAGTGAGGTGTGGGGAGCCCCTGCCCACCGCCTCGGCAGGCAGCACCACGACTGCGTCTGGCTGTTTTTTTCTCTAAACACTCGGGACTCTTTGAGTACTTATGGTCTCGGTTGGGTTTGCTCTTTTTTAATAAAATACTGAAGTTAAACCTGGTGAGGTGGTGCCGACAGCCCAGGTGAGGATCCCGCCTTGCCAGGGGGACCCAGCTTGGCTTCTCCCGGCACGGTTGGACCCCTCGCCTGCTTTGCAAGTGGCAGCTGGGGAGGGGGTTCGCAGGCAGCTGGAGGAGCGCTCGCTCTGCCTGCGGAGCTGCCGGCGGCCGTGCCGGGTTTGGGCCGTCTGGGCAGGGCAGGCCAGGGCAGAGCCCGGCGCTGGCGCTTCTCCATGCACTCGCCTCCCCGGGGCTTCCTTGGCGCAGCGTTCCCTGGGGTGCTGCTGGGCTCCAGCATTGGCTCACCACTCTGCAAGGTGGGTCCCCCTTTGTCAGGTGCTGCGGGCTCTGCAGGTTGTGCATCACCCCCTTACTCAGCCCTTTGCTGAGCTGACTCGGGGCAAGGCCCTTGAACAAAGTTTTTCAGCACCAGGCTTTGTAAAACTTTTAAAAACGCGACCTGCCTGGAGGAGTGTGTCTGATCAGATCTGCTCTGCTGGGCCCCGATTTAGGGAGAGGGTCCAGGACAGACGCTGGGTACTGCGGACTCACCCTCGGCTGCAGTGCAGGTCCTGCTGCTGGCCCCGAGCCCGCTGCTCCCCGCAGGGAGTGAGGCAGAAGCAGCCTCAGCACCCCCATCCTGCCGCGCCGAGGCCTGGGGGTGCGGGGTGGGGGCTGTGCAGGCTGTGCAACCTGCTACCAACCCCTGGAGCTACCTGGGCCTCGTTAGCCCGGTATTCCTTAGTGCAGGGTGTGGGCCAGCCCTGCCGGCATGGTGTTGTGGGTATGGCTGGGGGGGGCACTGGTGATGCCTCCCTCCTCCTCGGGCAGCTACCAGCTTGCTGTCCTGCCATGATTCAGCCTCTCCGGGGCATGGGGGGGCCTTCCTGGGACCAGGAACCGCTGTGGGCTTGTAGCCAAGGCCTGTCCCAGCCACCCTGCAGACCAGACCTTGCTCTGTGCCTCAGTTTCCCCCTGAGAGGCCCCATCCTGGCTCTGGAGCACGGGGGTTTTAACTCCAGTCGTGCCCACAAGGGGTGGTAGCTGGCTGGGGCGAAGCTTCCTGGGGGGCATTACCCACTCATGGATGTTGAGGGGCTGCATGTGGGGCAGAGTACCCTCCTGCCCCAAGTGGGACAGAAAGGCTTTAAGGAGAAAGTCTTGTTCCAGCCCTCTGCTGAGCTGCCCCAGGAGGCGGGTACTGCCCATGCTGCTGCCTGGATAATTAGGCTGCTGTCAGTTAGTATTAATGACCAGCAGATGCTGGAGGGTCTGACCATGGCACTGCTCTCTTCTGGTACTGGGGAAGTGGTGGGGTTTAGCCTTCACCCCCTCCAGCTCCAGGGGTCCCACCTACCCTGCTCCCAGCATAGAGGGGAGATGCTGTGGTGTGGATGTGGCTTTGTGCCCATCTGGCCTGAGACCTGGCAAATTCATTTCATGCCATCTGCAGCCTGCCCCAAGGGCACGTCCTGCAGCAGCACAGGGATGGGCTACAGCTGGCAGCATCCCTAGAGCAGAGGGGCCTGGACCCAGGGCTCAGGCTGTGTGCTGATGTCCCCCTTCCCTGGCAGGACCAAGGCCAAAGCCCACCCATGCCTCAGGGAGGTGGCCGGGGGGCTCCACAAAGGCACTTTCAGCCCCCTGGGCAGGGCAGGGGGTGACCCTGGGTGCAGGGAGATGTTCCACCCCTTAGGCCCTGGGGAGTCTGGACAGTCTGGGGTGGGCAGACAAGGGGTGCAGGGCCCATCCTGATCTCTCCCTCCTGCTTTGCCCCAGGGGGACCTCACGGCCGGTGTCACCGCAGCCCTGCCAGCCCCATGGCTGAGCCCTGACACTGAGCCCCCTCACACAACGCCCGGCTGGCTGCAGCGCTGGGTGTGGCACTGCCCGGGGACCCCCGCAGCGCCGCCACCGCGGCCCAGGTGAGACCAGTGGGGGGGCTGGTGGGTGCTGGTGCACCGGGGCAGGGTGGCAGCGTCCCCGCTGTGGCAGCGTCCCCAGGGGCAGTGCTGCCAAGGCTTGGTGGTGCCGAGTGCGCTGCCCTCTCCCGCTCCCTGGCACTGCCTGTGGGCACAGAGCAGAGGGCGGGCAGGGTGCTGGGGGCGCTGAGGGGTGTTGCTTTGCCTGCTTGTCCCCCAAAACACCACGCAGTATCCCTGCTTTGGTGGGAGAGCTCGGGGCCGAGGTGAGGATCAGCTGTGGGGTTGGCAATTCCTTCCTGTTCCCTGCCCACGCTGGGGAGGTGGGAGGCACAAGATGGGCTCAGCCCACCCTGGCTCGACCTGCAGAGGGGATTTAGTGGAGGAAAGAGGCTTAGGGAGGGGATTGGGGTTGTGCTGGGCTCTGTCGGGGGGGGCCCACCTGTCTGCATCGCTCGTCCCGGGAGGCCACTGCTGCAGGCAGGGATGCTCCATGCTGGTGTGCAGGATCAGGCCATGGGGCCAGGTTCTGGGAGCGCAGAGACGGCAGCAAGGGGGAATCTGGCACCTCGCCCTCCCCGGCCACCCCCACCACGGGGGTCACCAGCCCTCTGTGCCAGCCCCCTGAGACCTGCTTGCCCAAGCCGGCCGAGCAAGCAGCATCAGGTGCCAGCACCGCGGGAGGCAAAACACCCACCGGTATGGGGTCCCACGAGGGGGGATTTGGGGTGGCGCAATCCAGTGAGGGACTGGGGATGGTCCCAGGGGAACTAGGTGGCGGCAACATCCTGGGGGTGGGCAGGATCCAGCCGGCAGCCCCGTCTCTGGTTGGAACAGGGTGCGTTTGTATGCGTGGGTATGTGCGTGCCCGCACGCCTCTGCCACAGCAGCCGGGCTGGGGAGTGTGTCACCCCAATTTGGGGCCACCCCCAGGGCCCTGCCAGGGCTGAGCGAGCCAGCCTGGGGTGCCGCTGCGGCCGCCCTGCTGCTGCCACAGCCTGTGAGATCACTTCCAGGTGACACGGCCACCAGGAAGGTAGCAGACGGGCTGTGACGGCGAGCGGGGTGATGTGCCGGAGGTGAGTGGGGGTTCCCATCCCCCTCTGGGAGCTTGTTTTGGGGACTTGCCACTTCCCGGGGTCCTCTGTACGGGGTGGTGGGCGCCAGGGCATGGGGGATGCCATGGCGCTGGTCCCCAGGGATGCTGGAAGGGATCTGGGGCCAAGCATCGTGTCTCAGATGGCCGGGAAAGGTCGGTGTCCCCACAGAGAGGAGGGACACTCTGGGCAGTGTGACTGTCATCGCCCTGTGAGGCAGGGGACAGTGCGTTCCCATCCGGCAGCTGTCATTGTGGTGGGAGCCCCTCCAGGGTGGGAATTGCAGGCAGGTGGGTCAAGGGTGGCATGGCGCAATGCCATCTATCCCTTTGCAGGGGACCTCGTCGTTTGGGTTTCAGCTGAGCTTGGGCAGGTCAGGAGGACCCAACAAGTAGGGTGGGGGTGACCCAACTCTGCGCCTGGAGCTGCGGGGACGGGTGTTGTCCTTTCTTGGCTTGGAGACCCTACAGCATCGCTCTGGCTGGGCAGGCTGGCGAGGGTTTCGGGGTGGCCGGGGCCGGAGGGAAGGTGGCATAGCACGTGCATCAGTCACCGGCCTGCGGCGTGCCAG